CATCCATCCATCCATCCATCCATCCATCCATCCATCCATCCATCCATCCATCCATCCATCCATCCATCTTTGTTATTGTTGTTAGTTGCAAAGTTGTGTCTGACCCATTGCGATCCCATGGACCATGTTCCTCCAGGCCTTCCTGTCCTCTACCATCCCCCGGAGTCCATTTAAGCTCACGCCAACTGTTTCAGTAACTCCATCCAGGCACCTCATTCTCTCTCCTCCCTTTCTTCTTTTGCCCTCCATCATTCCCAGCATGAGGCTCTTCTCCAGGGAATCTTTCCTTCTCATCAGGTGGTCAAAGGATTTGATTGTCCTCTTCAGGATCTGGCCTTCTAAGTTATTGTTACACTTTCCCAGTTCCATTGGTCCCTCTTGCTCTACTCAAAAGGTTTCCAACCTTGGCAACTTTACAACGTGTGGACTTCCAACTCCCAGAATTCATCTGCAGGAAAAAGGGCAGCCAGCCCAGCCTTCCTGCCAGAATTTTTGGGAATTGAAATCCACAAGTTGTGAAGCCGTCAAATTTGGAGACCCCTTCCCTGAGAGACTGTATTCTCTTTTTAAAACTGCAGATGGAAGCAGATGACTATGACTCAGAATAAGAGTCCGTCAGTATATGTTGGGAGAGATGAAAAAGAACAAATACACAGTTGCAGGCATTTTGGCCTTGAAAAAAAATATGCATTAGGATTATCCATCAGCCACTGCAAAATGAACTTAACTCTCAAGTTAAGTCCTCAACTTATAACCGTTTGTTCAGTGACCATTCAAAGTTAAATGGTACTTTAAAAAAGTGTCTCACAGCTGGTTTTCATACAATCATTGCACATCCCCCTGGTTTTATATTTATCAACCAATGAATTTACTACTATAAGATTATTACAGAAATTGCAGAATCACAGAGGTGGAAGGAACTTTGGAGGTCTTCTAGTCCAACTTTTCTGCTCAAGCAGGAGACCCTACACCATTCCAGACACAAGTGGACTGACAAGTGGTTGTCAGTCTCTTCTTAAAAACCTCCAGTGATGGAGCACCTACAACTATTGAAGGCAACTTATGTTCCACTGGTTAATTCTCCTCACTGTTAAGAAGTTTCTCCTTAATTCCAGGTTGTTTCCCTCCTCAATTAATTTCCCAAGAATGGAGATCAACATTAACCTTGGGGATGTAATTAAATTCTGAGATCAATCAGGAATCATAGAATCTTTGACTCAAAGTGCTGAAAGGGCCCTTGGAGATCTTCTAATCCAACCCCCTACTCAAGCAGGAGACCTTCTACCATTCCAGACAAGAGGCTGTCCAATCTTTTCTTTAAAAAAAACCTCCAGTGATGGAGCATCGCATTCCACAACTCTTGAATGCTTGCAAGCTCTGGCGAGATATCAGAGAATCTCTGCCAAAAAATAATCCATGTTGTCCTTCCTCTGAGTTGCAATTTTTATTTTTGAACAGCAGAAGGGTCATTGACTCCTTAATGGGCTACATTCTCAGGACAACTTAAACCACGGAGTAACCAGGTTTCATAAAACAGGCTAATGGGTTCCCTTGTGGGGAATGATGGCTTTTGATGCAAATCCTCATGAAGTCAATGAAACTTCTCCTCATTTACTGTTTTTTTCGGAGTATAAGACACACCTTTCCCCCCCTAAAAGAGGGTGAAAATTTGGGTGTGTCTTATACACTGAATGTAGCCCCACCCAACCCTTTGGCCTCTGCCTCCCAGCAATTTACCTCTTTGCAGCAAACGGGGGGCTTGCAGAGGCTGCAATAGAGAAATTGTAAGTGAAACTTGCTGTTTGCTCCACATGGCAAACTGCTGGGAAGCAGATTTTTTTTTTCTTGTGCTAATCAGGCTGTTTGCTGCAAGGAGGTAAGTTAACAATTATAAATGTCTATAGAATGTTCAAATTATGAGACTTATTTTTTAAAGACTGCCTTATTATTATTCTAAAAAACTTAACAAAATGAAGAAACTTTTTAAAATAAATGCTTGATCTGAAGAGGCCCCATGCTATTGTTTTAAAAAGTGCTATTCTTTTAAATAGCAGAGAATAGCTATACTTCCAGAAAGCACATCAATTTTAACAGCATCTGTACAAGTATAGTCTGAAATATAACACTACAAACAGTGTATATTGTCTGTACTGTTCGTTGCAAGGAGGCAGATTGCTGGGAGACAGAGGCAGATATTTTCCCCTTGTTTTCCTCCCCAAAATCTAGGTGCGTCTTATACTTCGGAGCATCTTATACTCCGAAAAATATGGTAAGTTGAGTCATGGCACATGGAACTTCTTCCCCTTTTTATTTGAATGTTTCACTGCTTATTTTAAAAAAACCTCTTCAATGCACATACAATGCTAAAAGGTATTAAAGAACCAGAAAAATCACTGAAATATATAGAACAGGAAGTAGAAGAGGAACTGAGAAAAACAAATGACGTTAACATGGGTGAAAAAAAAGCTGAAAATAAAAACAGTTAGTTAATTCTACTGAGAGCTATAGAAACACAAAAAGAGGAGAGAGGGGAAAAAAGAAAATGCTATCCAAAAAAAAGAACAACTCAAAAATAAAGAGAGAAACAGTGGGAAGCAAAAAAGAGAAATCCTAGGGAGGATTACTCAAACAATGCATAGGAGAATGATAAGGCAAATGCAGAAGAAAAGATATCATACATATGAAAGGGGGAGAAAAGGAATTGATGAGTAGGGGATAGAAGGAGAAACAGAAAACTGATGAAAAATAGAACATCAAAGAGAGCAAGAGATGAGTTAAAAGAAAATGGTTAGGAAAGGAGGAAGGGAAAGAAGATTATTAGTAGAAAATGAAATATGTTAATACTGCTAATGATATATAGTTAAATAAAGTAACATTGTTAATTGTGGATAACCAATTACGTAAAATGCATGTTATATTAAAATTGAATTTATTGAAATTTATGAATTTATATATGCTACCTATAGAAATTAGAATAACAAATGGAAAATGAAATAATAAATTTGGTATATTTTCTGAAAGAGCGAAAAATGCTATTGTCGATGTGTTAAGAAAAAGGTAAGTTTAAGATGGAAATATGGGAAGAAAATAATGGGGCTAAAATTGGAAATGGTAATGTGATGTGAAACAAATTATGTATATGAGAGAATGTAAAAGAGGGGGAAACCCGGACAACACTTGATTTGTAAAAAGATTTTAAAATTTGTAACAAAAAAAAAAATTGAAAAAATGAACCTGCTTCAGATAAGCAATGAAAAGTTTCAAACCAAAAAGAAAAGAACACAAGAAACCCCCCCAGAAGAACTTTGGCCCAACAAGACAACTATCCCTTACCAGACGTAGAAGGAAATCTTTGGGGAGCAGCTGAACCAGCAAGACAGACTTGTTGTGAAGTTCTTCGTGGGCCAGGACGAAGTTCCCGAGCTGCTCGGGGGTCCCCAAAAACGGCAGTACCTCCATCAGAAGGGCATTGATGGAGCAGGCTGCCAAAAAGATTGAGGGTGGGTGGGTAAACCTTTACACCCCCATGTTTATGTACTTAGCAACACAACACATAAAAAGATAAAGGTTCCCCTCGCACATGCATGGTAGTCCTCCCCGACTCTAGGGGGCAGTGCTCATCTCCTTTACAAAGCCGAAGAGCCAGCACTGTCTGAATATGTCTCCGTGGTCATGTGGTCTGCATGACTCAACACCGAAGGTGCACGGAACGCTGTTCCCTTCCCACCAGAGGGGGTTCCTATTTTTCTACTTGCATTTTTTACATGCGTTTGAACTGCTAGGTTGGCAGAAGCTGGGACAAGTAACGGGAGCTCACTCTGTTATGCAGCGCTAGGGATTCGAACTGCCAAACTGCCGACCTTTCGTTCAACAAGCTCAGCATCTTAGCCACAGAGCCACTGTGTCCCTAACACATCACCACATAGGTGGCACTGAAGTTTAGGAGGAATGAAAGAGAAGGTCTTCATTGTTTCCCAGAGCATTGGATACACAAACATACCTTCTGGCTCAGGTGTGTTTGTGTGTCCGATGTTTTGTGTCTGAGCCAGAGGGTGTATTTCACTTTTTCCCCTTTTTTCACAAGGCAGCTGCAGATATCTAAGTAGGCTTTGAGAACCTGGATACTTACCTCCGATGGCTTCCTGGATGAAGACAGGCAAGAGGGACATGCTATGGTGGCTCAGCTCCCTGATGGCTGCCTCGGTTTTCTTGACCACCAGGAAGACATCACCCAACGAGAGGCTGTAGAGGGTAACACAACTTCGGAGCAGGGAGAGGCCATGACACAACACGTCACGGACCCGGCCGGAAAACCCCACGTCATAGTTACGCATCAGGATCTCATCGGTGATCCATACAAAGTCTTGCATCAGCCGAGAAAGTAAAACTCCCTGGTGGATGTCAAGAAGAAAGAAAGCCAGGAAAATAAGTAAATTTATGGATGTCCAGCAATTTCTCCACTTAACTTGGAATTATTTCTAGATCATCAGGAAAAGGTCAACAGAAGAGAGGCATAATAATAGGGTAAATATATAATACAATACAATAGCAGAGTTGGAAGGGACCTTGGAGGTCTTCTAGTTCAACCCCCTGCCTAGGCAGGAAACCCTATACCATTTCAGACAAATTGATATCCAACATCTTCTTAAAGACTCCCATTGTTGGAGCATTCACAACTTCTGGAGGCAGGTTGTTCCACGGATCGATTGTTCTCCCTGTCAGGAAATTCCTTAGTTCCAAGTTGCTTCTCTCCTTGATTAGTTTCCACCCATTGCTTCTTGTTCTACGCTCAGGTGCCTTGGAGAATAGTTTGACTCCCTCTTCTTTGTGGCAACCCCTGAAATATTGAAAGACTGCTATCATGTCTCCCCTAGTCCTTCTTTTTCATTAAACTAGACATACCCAGTTCCTGCAACCATTCTTCATATGTTTTAGCCTCCAGTTTCCTAATCATCTTTGTTGCTCTTCTCTGCACTCTTTCTAGTCTCCATATCTTTTCTACGTCATGGCGACCAAAACCCTAACCCT